TCCAATTTTGTAGGGGGGTTCCGCCTTCTCCAAGATCTGATCACACTGCAGCAGTACATGCAGATCGTTACCTTCTTATTTTTGGTGGGGGCTCCCATGCAACTTGCTTTAACGACCTTCACGTTCTTGATCTTCAAACTGTGAGATGAATGACAACTTTTATCTTTGTTGTTAAGTACTTAATGCTCATTTCAATATTTTTCCGTATGCGGATTTCTTGTCATGTTTTATATATATGCCTTCTGAATACTATAGATGGAATGGTCAAGACCAACGCAGCAGGGTGAGATACCTAGTCCACGTGCTGGCCATGCCGGTGTTACTATTGGAGACACTTGGTTCATTGTTGGCGGAGGGGACAATAAGAGTGGTATGGTCTTTTATTAATAAAATTACTTGTATCTTGTACCATGTCACACACAGTTGATGCTTTATTTAGTTATTGCCATTGCCGGAAGGCAGAGGAGACTAATGATTGTATATGTTGAGACTATATATGTTCATGACATTGTTATGTAGTACAATCACGTCATTCTTTGTGTAGGTTTTGAAATAAAATGGTCAAACAGACGGTTCTAAGACTCGTTGAAATGGTGTCAAGTGTAAGATAGTCCCAAAAAGATAGATTGCAGGTGTTTTTAGTGTCAATGGTGCAGCTGCCTTTCCTACTTTTAAGCTTTAAATTAAGTGTATATATGCTACATTATTGGGTGAAGATTGGAAAGATAATGAGTCAGAATGATGCCCAAATAGAATCCAAAAGAAGAGGGAAGCGACTGAACGACTGACTAAAAACAAAAGTGTATAATTTCAAGATGGTCTAGGAAGGAATTTTAAGATGCTTGTCCTTGCATGTACCTGATTTCTACAGTCCATTGTACAGAATAAACTAAAAGATGCAATTTGTCTCGTTGCAGTATTTAACCATAGACATTCCAGTCTATTGGAGTGCCCATATTTTCTTGTCTGAAGGAGATTTCTGTTTAGTATCTTTGTTCGTGCTATATTTTTTTATTTTTGGTTCACGAGCTGTTCTCAAGAATAATATGATGCTCTATTGTGATAAATGCTCTACCTTGTTCATAAGATGCCTTTTATTTTGATATTTTAATACCACCATCCTTTCTCCAGAAAGATTACGATTTGCTGATGTGCTGAAATAACATTGTTGATAGTTGATATTAGGATATTATTTAGTCTGATAATCTAACTATATGCTGTGCTAGTTCTAAGTTTTGTATTAGTTCAAAGTTTTCTTTCCCTGTAGGTGTGAATATTCTTGTGCCAACTCTAGTTAATGCTTGTGATCCAGTTATGAAGTCATAATTTTGGGGAATACTTACGATAACTAATTATGTCACTTTTCTTTAGGGGAATTGTCTCATTTTCTTACCCGTGCATGCAGGAGTCTCAGAGACTGTTGCCCTCAATATGTCCACATTGGTCTGGTCAGTTGTAACTACTGTCCAAGGGCGTGTTCCCCTTGCTAGTGAGGTATTATTGTTTAGATATTAGTTGATTAAATTGAAAAGCCTCTGTTGTATTCTCCATATTTTCTTGTGTATCCATCTTATTATTGTCAAGGATGATCTATTATTATTTACATGATTGGTGCATTGAATTTGAAATAAGTTTGTTGAAGTTGATGACTGGGAAGTATGGAGATTGACAACAAGAAAATAGCATTTTCAACTTCTTTTACGACTATTGAACGCTAGGATTTCTTTGCTGCAGGAAGGTTCTGATTTTGATTTGCTGAGTCAGCAAACTAAGATTATTTCCCATCATCACACTGCAAATTCTCTAGGAAATTGTCTTTTGATGAGTTTTGTAAAGACCCCTAATTGCTTGTTCCTTAAAAGCTACCTGACTCATAGTTTTCATTCATTTTGTTAATTGTGTACATGATCCGATTGATGCATTTAGTTTGACTCCTCGCATGAATAGGCTTTTCTTTCTATAGAAGGATCATTTTGTAAATTTGCTGATGAACCCAGCAAATTTTCCTTGGAGTAGGTATATATATTTAGGCCATGAGCTTTTTATCCTGCCAGCAAAACAACTTGCCACTATAATGAAATTATAGAGTTCACCTCTCTCTACCCTCCATTTCACATTATGAAAATTATAAAGTCAATTCTTCCTCTGATGAATATACTGAATGGTAGTTAAGATTTGGAGTGAACAAGGTTGTGCTTTTAATTGCATAAAACAATCTGATCCTTATGTGTATTCAATCGTGAGCCAATAATAACCCTTGAAATTAATGTACTTACTGGATTTAGGGTTCGAGCTTAGTCGTTAGCTCTTACAGTGGTGAAGATATCCTGGTCTCATTCGGTGGATACAATGGGAGGTACAACAATGAGGTCTGGACTCTGGATACCCTA